AGGTGCTTCGATCTGTACATGTATATGGAGAAGAATATTACACGATTCCTCCTGATAAACCACAGCATTAAAAGAAATATCATAAAAGTAACATTAATATGTTGCTATTAAATGAAGTTATTTTACATGTCTACTGTTTATTGACAAGTAAACTGAACAGAATGATGTTAGAATTTTATGTTTTGAAATCATTATTTTTAATGTGGACCAAAATCGAGATTTAGTTGAAGAGTACGATTATAGGATCTTTTACATGTCTTTCCAGAGATTGGCAAAATGGATTATTATTCAGTTTAATCTAAGGGCTATAACATTTGACTTACCTCATCATTGTTGAAATAATGTTTCAAATATATACTGTTCTGTAGTGCATACAGTGCATGTGTTTGCCAGGTAGGGCAAGTATAAATAGTATATGAGAGGTAATACATGAAATATGTTCACTTAGCTTTAAAATCTACAAACTTAACTCTTACAGTTTATTTTAAGTACGTATGTACTATGTATCTTGATTTGCTATTCTATTTTTTTTACTTGTTTTAATTTTATAGAAATGAGATAAATATCTTTGAGACTGCCTGTTTGGTTCATCATCTATTGTGATTATCGGGTCATACTGATTACTGACCTTGTGTATTTACGATAGAATTGCATGCAAATTGATGATATTCAAGGGAGTCTTGATGTATCATGAAAATGATCTAAGTTTCACTATCTTTCCAATCAGGTTCTTACAACGCAGTCTGTTTAAGACAGTTCAATGTCTAGGTGATTGAAATATTCTGTTTTTGAAATATCATAAACCCTGTTCATGTCAAATCATTTTATGGACAAGTTAGCTGTCTTGTTTTTTTTAGTCTGAAGAAAAACATAATTTATTTCGAAGGCAAAATATTTTGTTGGTCTTTCCTAACAGATCATGGATTACTGAACGCAGTAAGGAGTAAACATATTATGGATTATGAGGGGAAATGGAATTAGGGTCTAAAAATAAAGAATCTGCTAGGAACATGAAACACTACTATCCCATGGTACACCTCCACCCTTTATTAGCTTATACTCGTTTAGGTGAGATATTGTTTAATCGCCCACTTGACTGTCCGTCTGTCTGTCTGTCCATCTGTCAACACATTGGTAGCTAATTCAAAATCTTCTTCGACAATTGAAATGGTTTCATTTTTAAAATGTGCTTAGATAACGCCTTCATTGAAGTTTCTAATATCTTAAAATGTTGCACAAAAAACAGAATCTTAAAAATGTAACACTCAAATTATAAAATTGAAAAGTATTACATTATAAATCAAAATCCTAAAATGTCATATGTACTTAAATTGAAAAAAGACATGCACAGAATAAGAGTAGAGCACTTGGGAGACTTTAATGTTTGATATAAATAGAAATAACAAAAGACAATAGAGCTAAATTTAGACTGTTACAAGCAGAACATACGTCACTCCAAATTATAATTATGTTTGATGTTTGATAAGACATATGAAAATATTGATAGAAGTTCACATGTATCGCACATATTATGTTTAAACTACGTCATTGCTGCATCTTATCAGTAGTTTAGCCACCAGTGGATGGTGATTAGAAAACAAAAATGCTTATATACACCATGACAATATGTGACCCTTCTTATACATATGCCTTTCTTACATTTGTATTATATTTCTGGTAAACAGATTGGTCATTTCAAATTTATTTTTATTTTTTTTGTGACAGGTCAAGGGTATGATAACACTTGATTGTACAAAATAAGAAAACTGGAGTTGGAATACATGGTACAACTTCAGCCTTCTGATTTGTCATCCGTCCCTTTATGATCTAAGCCCTGGAATCCTCAATACAACCTCAGTGATAAAGAAACAAACAAAAATAATGATTTGCTATTAAAAGTGGTAATATATCAGTCTAAGTAACTGTGATATACTCATTTTTTGGTCATTAATATGTGATTAGTAGTTCTATATTATCACAGAAGCTTTATACTAGATGACTATTTATAAATAGTAGAAATGCTCTCTGAAGAAAGATTTCTAAAGATAGGGTGATTAAATTGAATGCAAGTCTTCAGATATAATATACATGGTTTATTTGCCTGGCTATAATAATAAAGGAGTGGCTTTTTGGAATCCTAAGCCGAGTCTTTTTTATAGAACTTAAAAAACAAGAAAGTATAATTGTATTTTTAAGGAAAGAACATTTCTGTGAATAATTGTGATGACTTGTCTCTTTGGCTTTAAGTGGTTAAGTTCATTCTTAGTCTTGCCTCTTAGGCATTCAAGGAATTTGATTGAAGAACTTGCGTCACTTATGCTACGTCAGCATTATCAAGGATATTAGCAGTGTTCAATGAGGTATTACAAAGGGAGCTACCATAATTTTATTATCACTCCTGATATCATCTGAGTCGTCATCTGGTCTATTAAAGTATTTCATATGATTGAAAGTTCAATATAATGGTATATGTATTACTCTATATGAAAGATGCACTGTAGTCAAGTTCATATACAGCATCTTCCAATTGAATGTACCCTTTGCATTTGTTCGACTTCGCTTCTTAAAATAGAGCTTCATCTTCACTCTTTCAGTTCATAGTAAATTTCTTTACTCAGAGTTTGTCGTTGAAGGTACTATTGACAACTATCTATATGTCATATTTTTTTGACCAAGGACGTTACAATACCTTGGAATTGAGTGGTTCGTGCAGTAGGCTATGTATTTATGATAGCGAAACAGGAAAAAGTAAGATTTAACACCCCTTTGAGAAAAATCCCAGGGACTGAATGTCATACAAGATACCTCTCTAGGATTTGAAGCATTTACAAATCTAGTTGCACATTACTTCAAGTGTCGGCTCTTCCCATCCTCTAAGGTACAAAGTCAATGGGCCAATTAAACAACCAGTCTTCAAGGAGAGTCATAAGTAGAAAAAGTTCAATGCTGATTTCCTTGTTTTGGAAAAACATTCACAAAGGTATAGTGAAAATCATTGAAAACCTGCAGTATGTAGCATTGTAAAAGTATGAAACATATGTCAAAAATCCTAAATTTAAGCAGCATGCCACATGACTGCAAGATTGTTTTTATTCAAAGGAATATATGCCTGTCTATATATTTTTTTTGTTTATATACAGCTGATGGCCTGAGGTTATCTTGACTCACTATCAGATACATCTTCCTGGGGGAGGGAGGGGGGTACTCCCATATATTGGCTATATGGGGACGGGAAGTGGTTCTATTTTTGAAAGAAAACCCCTAGATGTGGGTCCATTTTTAGAGAAAAAAATCCCTAGATGTGGGTAGATAATTTGAGTCTCAACGGCACCCCCCTGTACAAAATTTGACCAGGGCTTAATTTATGAAATATCACAAATTCAAATTCAAAAATGACTATAAACCTGACCATAATATCCGTACTGTTTGTTTTCTGCAAGCACTGTCTGTGACTACTAGTCAAGGGTATTATGAACCATGATTAAGTTGGTTGGACCTTATCTGTGATGTGAGAGTGTTAGTGCATACAGGTAGAGATTGTATGTAGAATATCTTATCTATGCTGCTCTTCACACAACACTTATGGAGAAGAATCTGTTTCTATGGCAACCAGTTTAGAATAACAATTTCCTTCCAAATTGCAGTCTGTTAAACAGTTCGAGGAAAATGCGGCTAATTTATGAGTGTTGCATGAAAATATCTCACAAATTATGAATATCTTGTGAATATGTATAAACCTGATTATTGGATTATTGAGTTACATATTCTTATTTTAAACGATGGTCCCTGCATTCTAAGCTTGGGTCTTTCCAATGGAATTGTTAGGTATATCAAGGTTTATGTTAGATAACACCACATGGATACACATTTTTAATTTGGGGTATAACCCATGGCTTTTAATTTTACTTCCCAGTTTACTACAATTGGGATTTATTCACAAATACTTCAGTTCATATTAAAAATCTACCTTGATCAAACTCAAAGTAGTCATTTCAATGCCTTGGCCTTATTCAGAATCCACACAATAATGCATTGAATGTGTAATTAATTGTATCTCTATTGGGACTCTATGAATAAGAAGTATAGAAAGACAAGCACATTTCCATGGCAACCATTTAGTTTCTGCATTCACAGATACATACAGATTTATATTGACGGCTAAGTACAGTGTCTAAGTAGTTGTCATAAGCAATTTGTGAAGGAAAAGAAGGTCTAGCTAATCTGAAAATAACAGGAGAGGATTGTTTGTACTGTAAAGGTCGGGAATTAGAATGTCGTGTGTGAATGGATGAGTGAGAAACGATTGCAGGATTTAATCTTGATTTATTCACATTGGAGCTATTTTATTGTCCCATTCTGTCATTCTTAAGCATTTTCATCAGTCTATTTGGGAATGACACGCAGTAAAATCTCAAAATCGAAATTGGTTTCTCCTTCACGTTAAAATCTTTATTATGTGTTTGTATATTTTTGAAATATAGAGATTACATGTACTCATTTTTGTTTTTGTATTTGAGTTTAAATATATTTTGAACCTATGTCTGCAAAACCAAATACATTAAAATATAATAAAATATAGGATTTTGTAAATGTGATCATGTATTTGTGGTATGAGAAATAACAACTGATATTAAGTTATTAACCTTCGATGAGATATGTATTTATAAGTTATTGATATCTAAAACACGTAAATGTCTTTTTGACTATACATGCATTATATTTTGCTTGCAAATACGTAATAACACCCATGTTTTCTACACGAGAGACCTCTTATAATAAATTTGGTCTCTACAAAAGTCGCTGTTAATTTAGCATAACCTGCATTAAGCTCTCTTTTTTTCATTGTCTTCTATTTCAATTGAAATTATTATGTCGTTGAATAATGATAATTTCTCTATATTACAGGATTTCAACTACACTTGTGCTGCTGCCAAGGAGTCTTCAGCCAATATGGCGATGTAGCTGAGTGTCAAGAAAATGTAGCCGACTTTTATTAGCAGTTGGAAATTCACATCGGATTACTACAACAACAGGCGTGAGTTGTTTTAATTATTAATACAATGTTATATTATTTCATGTATCGCACTCATGTTTAGATGTCTCTTTTAGTAGAGGAATTTACTTGGTATGTTTCATCTTCAATAGCTGTCAAACATGTTTGATGGATAATTTGTGATCAAATTTGTGACTGAAGGAAAATATTAGTGCATGATAAGTTTGTCTTTATTAGAATCTCATCATGTATATGTAGTTTTTTTTTTATTATATCCATGTATTGAAGGGTTCAGGTTTGATATGTTTCATTGAATGTTCTCCAAAACTATGTTCCCTTGTGAAATAAATATAGAAAAAATTCAATGTCAAATACTGAGACGACAAAATGGATTTGCTAAATCTAAATCATTCACCAACTTGCTGTATCATTATTTTACAAGAGAATATACCATATATGTATAATCTAAGGCCAAATTACTTTAATTTTTTTGTTTTACGTCCATTAAAAGAGAAAATTCTAGATTGCAAAATTATAGATGCAACGTAAATACAAAAAAATCATTGTACTTTGGTCATTTAATAGTTCTGTATAAGACTTATTACTGCTTTATTGTTTTCTGTTGTATTGATGCATGAATATCTCCATAATGTAAAAATGTATATATTTTACTAATTTCTACTTGAATTCTTCTTTATTGAGATTCATTAAAAGAGAAAATTCTAGATTGCAAAATTATAGATGCAACGTAAATACAAAAAAATCATTGTACTTTGGTCATTTAATAGTTCTGTATAAGACTTATTACTGCTTTATTGTTTTCTGTTGTATTGATGCATGAATATCTCCATAATGTAAAAATGTATATATTTTACTAATTTCTACTTGAATTCTTCTTTATTGTCTGTTTCTTTAGGTCTTCATAATCACACAGAACAGTCTTCCTTTAAATCCTCTATTGCTCCAATATCCTCAAAGGCAGATTGGGAAAAGGGCCGAGAAGGGATGGGGGTTGACTGTAAACCATGCATTTTAAATTCTTTGTATCTCTTCAGGTTATGATGAAAAATGATTGGTTGTAAGTCATTCCCCTGTAATGTTCATGAGCAATATATTTTTTTTTTTTTTTTTTTGTTTATTTCACAAAACACATACAATATACATATACAATGAGTGGGTGACACAAGGGTTTGTGTATATTCCCAAGATGGAGTAAATTTACAAAGTATGTTAGAGTGGCGGGGATCTGCCATTGCATGTCTTAAATAATATATATATATATATAAAATTTGTGCCATCAAAGTGCCCCTAAATAGAATTAAAGTTGTAATAAATATTTTTTTGTCTGTTTTTTCATGAGTATGATGCTTCTGATAGATTTAAAATGTGGGGGTAATTGGTTCCAAATATCAGGTATAGAATAAGATAGCATTGATTTTCCATAGTTTGTACGAATTTTTGGTTTGTCGAAAGTTTTCTTGTTTCTTGTATCATAATTATGTCTATTTTCAACTGTTTGGAAGAAATCTGGAAATATTTGTTTGTAATTATCCTTGTCATTGATCCATTTAAACATGAATATATATCTTTGTTGCTTATTTATCTGAAATATGTTCAGGATTTTTAGATCATGAAAAAGAGGTAAAGAGTGAGCTCTAAAGTCGCTATTTGTTGCAATTCTTACAAATTGTTACATATTGATGCATAACCATATTTATGTTAAGCTTATCTATGTGTTTTTTCAAAAAAAAGTCGAGTTGATCAAAATATATTTACCTGTATTAAGGAAAATAACTTAACTGGAAACAAAACTTTGCAACGTGAGTGAGGTCATATTCTATGACAGAATGATAGTCAAAATATTTTGCAGTCTATGTCAAAAGATATTTTTAGATGAAATGTTATAGGCAATATTTTCTTTGACTCAAGAGATGAACAGTTAAATTCTTAAATATGTTAAAGTAGTCTTGCTCCAGGCCCTCACGTTTCAACCAAAATTTTCCTTTAAAGGCCAGGGTCGGGTATAAAAGGCCAGTGGCAGTTAGAAGTTACATCATATGATGATTTGATAATTTTGAAAATCAGAGCTGCAGAGGATTTATTTTGTTTTTCCCTCATAACGTGAAAACTACTGAACAGTTCTTGCTATTTTTTGCTACAGTTTTGCATGAACATATGTCAATTTAATATCTTGCTTTTGTTAATTAAAAATATCACTAGATTTTGTGTAATTAAGTATTTTTATTTGAAAATGTACTGGTTTTAGGGGAGGAGTTATAAGACATGGATTTAAATATCTGACAAGATCAAGGGAAATCCTAGATTCAAATTTGGAATCACTCTGTGGATCTCATCAGATCCAAGAATAATGTGTCCCTTGAGAAATGCCAGGGATGTTAATTTCAAAGATTTCTAGTCTGCATAGAAGGGACCATATCTGCATTTCAAAATTTAACTCTGTACACTATATTGAATCCCCAAAAAATATTTCACACACCAATTTTGATGTTTCCCCAATAAGACAGTGAAAGATTTAATCCTCTGGATACATGTGCTTGTGTTTGTAAACATTCTGGCATAAATCTTGCCATATATGGTAACATGATCTTTCACATGATTGGCTAGTAATTAATGGCTATTAATGAGGTGGGCTGAACTCAACCATATGGCAGGGAAACCTGGCCTTTAACACAGAGTTGGGATATATATATAGATGTAATAGTGGAGAACCAGAAGAGATACACAGTCCAATCTTGGTCAAATGACCCATTAGTGTTAGCTATGTGTAACAATTTTCAATATACCCCTTATTGTATGTTGTAGTTGTCTAATTAGAATAGCTTCATTAGGTCTTATTGAAATATATCAGATTCTCATATTGTTACCTAAGTTCTACTGGAGGGAGGATTAGCAAGGCTTATACTTAGGAGACAGAATTTATTGATATATGAGTCAAGTAATACATAGACTAAAGATTAACATGTACATTGTACAATATTCTATTCCCTTGTTATTAGGGCTGGCAGATAACAGTATAATTGTCCAAATCATTCATACCTTTGGAAGGAAATGGGCTTTTTGGGACTGCCTCTGCATGTTCCAATATTTTTGGAATTAATTGTTTTCTGTAAAGAACACAAAATCATGATATATATATACATAAATATTGAAAGTTTATTGTTTTATTTGCAATAGATAATCTAAATAAATGATTCAAAATTGCTTTTATGTAATTCATACATTTTAAATAACGTATGAACATTATGCCAAAAGTTTGAGTAATCTAAACATTATGAACAATAGGTCTGAACGTTCCAAATTCTGAAACCAAATTCCTAAATCCGTTCCTTTCTAATTATATTCCGTGCCAGCCCTCGTTATCCAATGGGGATTTGATTTAGCTAAAGGTAGGTCAAGTACAGTGTATAATGAATGAGAGCATTATATATTGACTAGGTGATATCAGTCCCAATGTGATTCCACTTTGCCTTCCTTAAGTCATCTTTTGTCTTTGTGAATCTCTGGCATCACAGAATTTCCAAAGTGCTGGAATATTTGTCAAAATATAATAACATGTCTTAAAATATATGGCTGAGACTTTATTTTCGAGAAATGTAGAGGTTTATTCCTCCATTGATTATGGCATTAGAAACTCCTTTCCTGTATTATCATGACTGCTCTGGACCAGTGATGCAAATCTTCACGTACATTTACATGATTTATCAGTGGCAATTTTATACCCAAGAGAAACGTGGGATGTATTAAAATGATCAATTTTGTGATTTTGTGAATATATTTCTTGCTCCAAATTATCTCTGCTTGAAGCCAATATGTCAAGTAGCACCATCTTATTTTCAAGAAAGTAGCTGGTCCGTAACTGATAGTAGCTCTGCTGTGGCAGCAAGTAGCTCTGCTATGACAGAAAGTAGCTTTTTATGACAGCAAGTAGCTCTGCTATGACAGCAACTATTTGTACTATGACAGCAAGTAGCTCTGCTATGACAGCAAGTAGCTTTGCTATGACAGCAAGTAGCTCTACTATGACAGCAAGTAGCTCTACTATGACAACAAGTAGCTCTACTATGATAGCAAGTAGCTCTGCTGTGGTAGCAAGTAGCTCTGCTAGGACAGCAAGTAGCTCTGCTATGACAGAAAGTAGCTTTTTATGACAGCAAGTAGCTCTGCTATGACAGCAACTATTTGTACTATGACAGCAAGTAGCTCTGCTATGACAGCAAGTAGCTCTGCTGTGGCAGCAAGTAGCTCTGCTATGATAGCAAGTAGCTCTGCTGTGGCAGCAAGTAGCTTTGCTATGACAGCAAGTAGCTTTGCTATGACAGCAAGTAGCTTTGCTATGACAGCAACTATTTGTACTATGACAGCAAGTAGCTTTGCTATAACAGTAAGTAGCTCTGCTATGATAGAAAGTAGCTTTTTATGACAGCAAGTAGCTCTGCTATGACAGCAAGTAGCTCTACTATAACAGCAAGTAGCTCTGCTATAACAGCAAGTAGCTCTGCTACAGCAAATAGCTCTATTATGACAGCAAGTAGCTCTGCTATGACAGCAAGTAGTTCTGCTGTGACCGCAAATGGCTCTGCTACTGCAAGTAGCTCTAAGGTGACAGCAAGTATCTCTTCTATGATAGCAAGTAGCATTGCTATGACACTAAGAAGCAACAAGTTGCTCTGCTATGACAGCATGTAGTTCTGCTGTGACCGCAAATGGCTCTGCTACAGCAAGTAGCTCTAAGGTGACAGCAAGTATCTCTTCTATGATAGCAAGTAGCATTGCTATGACACTAAGAAGCAACAAGTTGCTCTGCTATGACAGCATGTAGTTCTGCTGTGACCGCAAATGGCTCTGCTACAGCAAGTAGCTCTAAGGTGACAGCAAGTATCTCTTCTATGATAGCAAGTAGCATTGTTATGACACTAAGAAGCAACAAGTTGCTCTGCTATGACAGCATGTAGTTCTGCTGTGACCGCAAATGGCTCTGCTACAGCAAGTAGCTCTAAGGTGACAGCAAGTATCTCTTCTAT